ATATATTTACAAGGAATTATTTTTTGTATTGATTTTAAATGGATGTCCCAATGCACCTAAAAATAATTGGTCTCTCTTTTTTTAAATAGCTATTTGCTAAATGCTGTTCTTATACAGAATTTCTTAATTTTCACCAAGCAGAGGTGGGAAAAATACTTTTTGCTTTCAGGGAAAATGGTATAACATTAATTTATTAATGAATTGGTAATATACAAAACAATTAATCATAGTTTTTTTTGTAATTTAAGTGGCATTTCTAGTCAGGCAGCACAGCGAACTAGTTGATCTATCGCTTGGACTTAACTATCAGATCCTTTGAGAAGAAAAATATTTACGATATAGGACTAATTTGGAGAAAATAAAGTTTGAATTTATTTGTGTTAAACTCTGCTGTTGGATGATTGTGCTCAGACCGCGTGAATGCCCAGATTACAAGAACCCGATAATAAGATGTTTTGTTCTGGTATGCAACTCTGTCATTGACTAACACAACATCTAACTGGACTTTCTAAGGCAAAAGGTAGCAGCGCCCTCTTTCAGAGATGCCTTAATCCATCCCCTGGGACTGACCTAAGGTTACAGTGATGGCAGTGGGCTCGCTCTGGCAGCTGGCTTTCTGCCCGAGTCCTGTATCATCAGAGAAGCTTATGTTCCCTTGGTGCATTTTGATAATGATGTCCAGATTCTTTGACATCAGAGAAATCTTTTAGGATCTTCAAGTCCCATCATAGAAAATGGAAACAGAATTGTTTGGTTGAGTTCAGGGGATTTTGATTGTTGCTTCTTGTTAGGGGATTGCTTCTGTCTGCTGATAACACCTTACCGAAAGATCTGGCCTCATACTGACATCGGACAAAATATCACTGTATTGTTTGTTCTGTATTAAAGTATGTGTGTTTTGCTTCCGAAACACCCACTCACTTTGCTATAGCCATGCAACATGAAAGCAGATGACACTGATTTTATGTGTTATGAAATTGGAAAAAGTATTTAATAAAACCTGTTAATTTTTATACTGACAATAAAAATGTTTCTACAGATATTAATGTTAACAAGACAAAATAAATGTCATGCAGCTTATTTTTTTAATACTGGTGTCTCACCAAATGGTTTCCTGTGCTTGGAGGTATTGATGGAGTGCTGAGTCATGTGGATGCCTACAAGGCAGAACTGGAAGGGTTTTTGTTTACTAAATACAGGGGCAACTTGTTGGCGGGGGAGGGGAGGAGGCAGGTCCAGCAGTACCTGGGACAGGTTGATCCAACAGAAAATCAGAAGTTGGTTCCAGCCCTGGCAGGGTGGTTCCCCGGGGCCAGAGGGGAGGGAGTCATTGTTCTTCCTGGGTCTTACCCGCTGGCCTGAGGAGAACAGCAAGGGAGAGAGGTTCTCAAACCCGGAAGTGTAAGGATGGGGGACAATGAAGAGGAGGAGGTGCCCAGGACACTGGACCCCACGGATTTGGACCCTTCTAGGCTGATTTGCTTGTGATGTACAGATAGTGGAATTCACCATATATTCCCCAAAGGAAGATAAGGCCAACTGAATGATTTATTTTCATATACCAAGCACCTGAAGAGAGAAATGAAGTTTTACCTGTTGGTTAATGCAGATTGATGGCCCATAGGGTTCCCCTTCTATCTGTTCTCCAGCCTTGACCATGCTGGAAAGTGAGAGAAAAGCAAGCTGCTTCTTCCAGACACCAGCGGTGCTCTTTGGACCTTACAGGACCATTGGGAATTAAACACGGCTGAACGAAGCATCTCTTGGGTTTGAGGTCATCAGTGGTGTGGTGAGGGCCTGGCCAAGCATTGGGAGAGTGGGTTGGGGTCCTGGTCCCTCATTTGCCCTCATCTTATGCTCCGTTTCTTATTCGTAGAACAGGTATGGTCCTGCCAAAATAATGTGATAAAGATAAGACATGGGAAAGCCCAAGAGCAGCATCACCTGATAAGCACATGTGTTCAGGATGATTATTCGGTAGGATTCTGGGCATTTCCACCCATTAGAGACCCTCAGCCTGGTGAAGGATTGGCCTGCTGTGACCTCAGGAGTATTTAATGTCAGGTTCAAGATCCACACCAACTCTTCTGTGTAGGTCAGTAATGTATATTCCATGTGTTTAAGGCCAAAACACTTGATAGTTTTGACCCAAAGGGTTATAATATAATAGAAGAATTACTGTATTTCAGCAGGGTGTGGTGGCATGTGTCTGTAATCTCTGTGCTCTGAGAGGCTGAGGCAGGAGGATCTCAAGTGCAAGTCCTGCCTGAGAAACTTAATATTTAGCCAGACCCTGTCTCTAAAAAGGGGCTGGAGATGTAGTTTGGTGTGAAGGTCCTGGGTTAAATCCCTAATATTCATGCATACAAAAAAGTTTCTGCGTTTTCTTGCCCATTTCAAGGAGATAAATGGGCAAGAATCCTAAATCAGCCATTGGCCATTTTGTTTTACAATTATTTTGCAAGTGGTATTTGTCATGAAGGGGTATAGAAGGCAGGATGGTCTGTGAGGAGAAAAACTTGTTTTGGAGACCTGGCCAGCTTCCCCAAACATACATACCAGACAGGCCATGGTAAAAGTCTGGTACATTGTGCTCTTCCCCTCACCCCCAGACCCAAGGAAAGCTGGGAATCAAATGAGCTATGTCACTGAGTCATGAGATCAGTTCATTTATGAAGAAGCAAAACATGTCAGGCATCTTTGACAGGTAGAGCTTACGCCCTTGCAGTTTCCAGCTAGGAAGGATAGGCTGCCTCAAAGACTGGCTGGTGGATGGAGAAACAGGGCTGAGAGGCATTACCTTCGGGAGGGTTCTGTGGATTTCCAAGGGAGCGGGAGGGAACCCCTCACCCACTACCTAGCCTCTCCCTCCTTACATCAGGGAGTTTCTCTCCATCGCATCTGTAGGAAGTTCCTTAACCACACACCTAAGAATGGCAGGCATGTGCTTATGGTTCAGCATCTGACATATTGACAGATACAGGTTGAGGACCCCACTACCATTTTGAAAACTTAAGATTGACCCACTGGCCTGGCCTGTCTCATTAAGGCATTAGAACAGCCAAGTCCAGAGGGCTCAGCTAATACTGAATAGGAACTTGAGGCTCAGTGTAAGCTTTCTGAGGGTCACTGGGTAGGAAACAGTCTACGCAAACCAGACTGCAGCCTTGAACAGTACAGGAGAAATGTGATAGGTGGTGGGCTTTGCAGAATCGGAGAGCTATTTCTTACAGCTGGTGATATTGGGCAACTGGTGGATTCTGCCTGGACAATGGTTTCCTGCCCTATAAGCCAAGCTGGCACCAGCCTCATGGTCTTCCCATGAGGATTATCTGTAGGGGATTAACTCTGGGAGACAGTACTCAAAAAATGTGAGTTACCACTACCCAATTTTTTAATATCATCCATCTCAGAGATTTTTTAGTATATTCACAATATTGTGCAACCAGCACTACTGTCTAATTCCAGAACATTTTCACCAATCTGAAAAGAAACCCATCTCCTTCCTTTTGGCTGAGAGAAGAAGGAAGCTGTTGCTCACGATGCAAAAGATAGTATTCTCTCTGGCTGGAGTTCTTCAGTGCATTTCTCTTATCCCCAGTTTTATTTCCAGTGCAGTCTAGCAAGCATGAGCAATCCACTGGGACTGATTACTGCACCATTGCTTATGTATGCACACTGGAGTCTTTCTCATCCCAGCCTGTGTTTTGATGTTATTTATTTTTGATGTTTTTAAAGATGAAAGCAAAGTTTATCTTCTCTCACATTTCATCCCCAGGAAGCCTCCAAGTGATTTGGCTGTCTACGCTGGGGAGGGACAGTAGACGCCTTCCACATCTTAAGTGACATTCTGGAACGGGGCCCTTCTTGTGCCCTTTTTCCTGGAGTTGCTGGGGGTTTTGAATGGGCTTCTCAAATTAGTCTTGCAGTCCTGTTTCAGGGGGTCACATAAAGTGACCAGGTGGACGAATGGTCAGCATCAATCCCTAGAAAACTCCATCCATAAAAGGGGGTGGATTCCTGCCAGTTCCCAAAGTGGAGCCCCAGGGAATGAAGCAATTCAATGACAGAATTTAGCTTAAAATATATATCTAGACAAGTGACATTTCCTTCTATGGCTCAGAACACTACCTGCTTTCCCTCTTTTGGGCTGTGTCTTTTTAGGCTGTGTTATCTTCCCATTCTTTGTTGAGGATCTTGAAGTAAATTTTGCCTGTATCCCTTAGCAGTCAAAATCCATAGCATGATGCATTTGGAAAGGGACAGGATACTTGTAGATAGATAAAGTAAGAGTAAAGGAGAAAGAATTTTCTTGATCTGTATGACAAATGATCTCTATGTCAAATGATTGTTGAATTAAGTGAGGTCTTACCTGGGACCCATTAAACATTACCTGTTACCTGGCATCAAATATTAGCTGCTTGCTCTACCTGTCTATCATCTATCTATCTATCTATCTATCTATCTATCTATCTATCTATGTACCTTTCTATAATCTATCTTCTATCAATCATCTATCTATCTATCTATCTATCTATCTATCTATCTATCCATCCATCCATCCATCTATCATCCATCTTATTCCTCTCATCTCCCTGTCTGGATAAAGACATAAGTATAGATTATAGATATTGAGACAAATACAAAGAATATATGTGTGTATGTATATATATATACATATATATATATACACATACATATATGTATGTATACATAAATAAAATTGCCATTAAGTTAGTTTTGAATGCTACCAGGTATTCCCCACCATTCTTTATAAAACAATAACATTTGATAGCTTTTAAATCATTGAAAATGAAATTATTACAAGTCATGAAGTTATATTTACAACATGCACCTGTCATTTTTCCCTTTTAAAACAAGCATTCTCTCTATAAACATAGCTAGGCAATGAATGCACTGTCTGATCCTGAAGGGACAATTAAACACTTTGAGAATAGTGCAAGCCAAGCTGGCATAGGATTTAGGCACCATGGGCCAAGAGACAGACCAGAACAAGAGCAAGAGTTCCGGAGGGCTTGGGGGAAGGAAACTCTCTCTGGCCCCGGGTGTGGTGGTGTGACAAGCAAATCAAAATTAGTACTGTGACAAAGGGAAATACCACATTGAAAAATCAAAAGGCTGAGTACAGTGCTCTCCAAGAGGTAGGATTGTGTATTGTTCAGGGTCACCCCAGGGGGCTGAATCTTTGGGAACTGTGAAACTGGTACAGTCACCAATAGGGCTGGAGAAGCTGAAATAAATGCTGTCCTTTCTGTCAGGAAGTTCTTCAGGGTCTCGATTGACTTCAAGAGTATCTCATTCCTGCAGAAGCTTTAAATGGGAGAAGGTGTATGCAGATCAGGGTCTCCCTTCACCTTGTGCTGAGGTGTGCTACCTCATCTGGAAAAAGCCTATGTGTGTCTGTGCACACATTATCACCACAGGGAAAGAAATCAGAAACCTTCTCTCCTTCCTGGTATGGTCTTTACTCTCTAGGAGACCTGCCCTTTGGTTGCAGTGTGATGGGTTCAGGTTTAAGCAAATTTCAGGGATTTTTCATTCATTGCTGACTGTCGCCCAGGAGTAGCTAGAACTTCGAACAAAAAGGCAAAGTCAAAACAGTAACCCACAAAACCAGCACTGGGGCCTGGGGATGTAGCTCAGTGGCACAGTGGCTGCCTGGTGAGCACAAGGTCCTGCGTTCAGTTCTCAGTGCAAGAACCAAAAAGCCCCAGCAGTGAACAGTTGGGCTGTGGGTGTGGGCAGTGTTCTGCTTAGATCGGGGGTGGACAGACTATGGCCCATGGACTAAATCCAGCCCACAGCCTGCTATTGTGCTGCCTCCGAGCTAAGAAACATTTTTTAAATGGTGGGAAAAGAGTTTTAAAAATATTTATTTTGTGGCACCTACACATTCTATAAAATTCCAATTTCAGTGCCCATAAAGTTTTATTTTACTCAGCCCTGCCCTTCATTTACATAATGCCCATGGTAGCTTTCATACTGTGATACCAGAGTGGAACACCGGCAACCCAGATAG